AGTCAGAATTCTGACTTTAATCTCAGAATTCTGACTCTTTTTTTAGAATTCTGACTTTAATCTCAGAATTCTGACAATAAAAAAGTCATAATTCTGAGAAAAAAGTCGGAATTCTGAGATTAAAGTCGGAATTCTGAGATTAAAGTCAAAATTCTAAAAAAAGAGTCAGAATTCTGAGATTAAAGTCAGAATTCTGACTCTTTTTTTAGAATTCTGACTTTAATCTCAGAATTCTGACAATAAAAAAAGTCATAATTCTGAGAAAAAAGTCGGAATTCTGAGATTAAAGTCAAAATTCTGAGAAAAAAGTTGGAATTCTGAGATTAAAGTCGGAATTCTGAGAAAAGGTAGGAATTCTGAAATTAAAGTCCGAATTCCGAGATTAAAGTCAGAATTCTGAGAAAAAAGTCAAAATTCTGAGAAAAAAGTCAGAATTCTGAGAAAAAAGTCAAAATTCTGAGAAAAAAGTCGGAATTCTGAGATTAAAGTCGGAATTCTGAGATTAAAGTCAAAATTCTGAGAAAAAAGTTAGAATTCTGAGATTAAAGTCGGAATTCTGAGAAAAGGTAGGAATTCTGAGAAAAAAGTCAAAATTCTGAGAAAAAAGTCAGAATTCTGAGAAAAAAGTCAAAATTCTGAGAAAAAAGTCGGTATTCTGAGATTAAAGTCAAAATTCTGAGAAAAAAGTCAGAATCTTTAGAAAAAAGTCAAAATTCTGAGAAAAAAGTCAGAATTCTGAGAAAAAAGTCGGAATTCGGAGAAAAAAGTCGGAATTCTGAGATTAAAGTCGGAATTCTGAGAAAAAGGTCGGAATTCTGAAATTAAAGTCGGAATTCCGAGATTAAAGTCAGAATTCTGAGAAAAGTCAAAATTCTGAGAAAAAAGTCAGAATTCTGAGAAAAAAGTCAAAATTCTGAGAAAAAAGACAGGATTCTGAGAAAAAAGTCAGAATTCTGAGATTAAAGTCAGAATTCTGAGATTAAAGTCAGAATTCTGAGAAAAAAGTCAGAATTCTGAGATTAAAGTTAGAATTCTGAGATTAAAGTCGGAATTCTGAGAAAAGGTAGGAATTCTGAAATTAAAGTCCGAATTCCGAGATTAAAGTCAGAATTCTGAGAAAAAAGTCAAAATTCTGAGAAAAAAGTCAGAATTCTGAGAAAAAAGTCAAAATTCTGAGAAAAAAGTCGGAATTCTGAGATTAAAGTCAGAATTCTGAGATTAAAGTCAAAATTCTGAGAAAAAAGTCAGAATTCTGAGAAAAAAGTCAAAATTCTGAGAAAAAAGTCAGAATTCTGAGAAAAAAGTCGGAATTCTGAGAAAAAAGTCGGAATTCTGAGATTAAAGTCGGAATTCTGAGAAAAAGGTCGGAATTCTGAAATTAAAGTCGGAATTCCGAGATTAAAGTCAGAATTCTGAGAAAAGTCAAAATTCTGAGAAAAAAGTCAGAATTCTGAGAAAAAAGTCAAAATTCTGAGAAAAAAGACAGGATTCTGAGAAAAAAGTCAGAATTCTGAGATTAAAGTCAGAATTCTGAGATTAAAGTCAGAATTCTGAGAAAAAATTCAGAATTCTGAGATTAAAGTCAAAATTCTGAGAAAAAAGTCAGAATTCTGAGAAAAAAGTCAAAATTCTGAGAAAAAAGTCAGAATTCTGAGAAAAAAGTCAGAATTCTGTGAAAAAAGTCGGAATTCTGAGATTAAAGTCGGAATTCTGAGATTAAAGTCAGAATTCTGAGAAAAAAAAGTTAGAATTCTGACTTTTTTCCAATACTAAATTGAAACAAAATTTTAAAATTAGTAAAGTTTTTTCTTTCCATTGGCCCTAATCCTCTTCCGTATTTATGAGAGAAGAATACGCAAAATATACTCTTAAGCTTCTTAATTAATTAATTAATTCAATTTCCTACTATTTTATTAATTCACTCAGATGCAGTTATCTTTTAACTCTATAAAGTCTATAAAAACATCCCAGATGACATTTGCGTATTTGGAGTTTTTTTTTTATGAATGATACGTGGTTATCTCTACAAAAGAGCAGGTTTAAAATGTCAGCTATCAGTCATTTGATAACAGAATTAATTGTGAATTGAGATTATTTAAAGGTTATTGTCTGCCCTGCCACTTTTCATCCTTCGAAAAGCCTTCTTTGAGCTTTAAACAATCATTTATTTGTTTGTTTTTTTTTGAAGCATGAAAGAAGTGAGCTGATTTGCAAAAAAAAAAAAAAAAAATGTTCCGCCTTTTGAGAAAGAGTAAGGAAACGCTGCTCTTTTACATCAAGAAGAGTCAGCTAACTGGCTTGGTGCCTTCCTTCAGTGCTGTTCCTGGCATGCCCAACCAGAATGAAGCCCAGGGGAAAACACAACTAAACACATGCTGGAGGGACTTTTATTTCCCCCTGCCGGCCTGGGGACGACAGAGAGGGAAGTTGTAGGAAAGTTTATCTAAATATACTGCAGCACTGCAGAGAATACAAATGATGGAAAAAGTTGCCAGACAATATAACCTTAAGGAACCCCACAGTTGATCTTTGTTTGCTCAAGTTGCCATATCTACAATGCAGCAACCAGGCTCTTTAAATAAAGTTTGTTGAAATACCGAGGTCTAGAAACGCCAACAGGACGGTTTTAGTCACTGTTCAAATCATAAATCATGATAATAATCACATCACACAGATTTCATAGTGACACCCCTTGCCTTGTATACAAAGAGGTATTATTTGTTTGCATTCTGATGGCTTATTTGACATTGAGCGGTCTGGACTTTAAGCGCAGTGATGGAGTGGATCGTTTAAATAAAATGTGCACTGAATTAAAAACCGCACTCTTACGGAAAAAGTGTCTCAGATCCTAGCAGGTAAGATTGTCTATTCCAGTTGAGTGACAAATATTTTTTAAGCTCCTCCAGTGGTCAGTCTGCTTGATAATCTGACAGCAGTAGGCCTCTCACATTCTTTGTGTGGTCCCGTCGCCTCGCTCCACTGCGCCCTTGAGTTAAGTAACCGTAGCACGGATCCTTTAGAGGAATTCTGGTGGTAAGCACTCCAGTTATTAGGATTCAGGCGGCGCAGTGGCTCAATTCACCTTGGGCATGTCAAATTTTTTGGCTCTGCTCAAACAGGGAAGCTGCAACAACCACAGCTGATAATAGCGACAGTTGGGTGTGAGCAGAGGTTGAAGATGAGCTGGAAAGGAGAAAGCAGAGGCGGAGGAGGTGGGAGGGAGCCCAGTCGTGCACGGGGCCCATTTTCGTCTTTTGTTTGCATCTCCACAAACAGGGTCAGGCAAAGACCCCGAAGCTTCCACTTTGAAGTGCTGTCTTTGATTAAGGAGTTAATTAAAGAATAGCTGCTTGGAGGCGAAGAGATAACGGAAAGGGAAACAAGACGCAGACAGAGGAGGGAGAAAGGGGAGCAGATATGGAGCTGTGAAGTGATATTGACAGCTTAGAAGTTTCTGGATGACAGAGAAGCCATCTGGCACAATGCTGACAGCTGCAACGAGAAAAAAAACCCTGATACCCACATGTGTGAACATCACAGCTTCTGTTCAGCAGCGAGCGGCAACCAGAAACTAATGATAATGAAAGAGGGTTGAAAAACAGGAAGAAAGAACTGTAAGGGTAATTTATGCATTTAAGATGGAAGTGCTGTCTCAGGGCTAGCTGGTGAAATCTGTCATTTTTTTCATGCTATGTTTCATTATTTCCTGCTGTAGTTCCCATCTTCAGCTCTTTGGCTCACTTTACATCCAGTCATTCTTTTTCTATTCCTTCTGCATTCATTGTTGATTTGTCACTTTTTTAAGTTGTTGCATCTTTAATGCAAAACTTCATCTGTGTCTGAAAATGAATTATCTATATATCTTTTAGAAAATAACAGTTTACAGTTCTAAATGTCTTGTATACACCAAAACAACAATCAAATTTTCTTCATAAATGAAATGAAACCAAAGCCCTGCAATGAATGGTGTTTATCTAGAGGACATTTAACACCTTTTAAGGAAGCAATATCAATATTACAAACCAATCTTAATGCACACAGCAAATTACACATTGCATTTCTGCTTTAAACTGAAGTTGCGAATATAATTTTTATTTTGGTTGAAATATGATCATTTATAATGAGATAAATTAATTTCCATCTGCTTTATATTTTTAAGTTTGTTTATGATGCATCCTTTTTTAGTTTTTATTTCTCTTTGCATATTTATGGTCATTAGCTGGCTATTTATGTAGTACTGGCTCAAGGGCTTCTTGAAAGTCCTGTTTATTTGTTTCTTAAACTGTTTAAAATGTTTTTCTGCAGATTTCAGTGAAACGGTTTCACTGATATTTTTTTCTTATTTCTCAATTTTTTTTTTTTTTTGTATTTTGTATTTATTTTTTCCCATAAAGTCCGTCTTTTAGGAGACAAAATGAAATCTTTAATTTACTTTTTTTTCTTTTGAATAAATTTTTTTGTTTCGCACAATGGTACATTTTGATTATGCCAGTGGTGAATGTTAGCAGTCCCATTGAAAACATCTCTTGTCTTCTGTTGTCTCTTTTTTCTTCCTTTTTATGAGGTATAAAAGACATTTTGGGCACTTTTGTCTAAGTTGTGCCAAAATGACAGCTCCACCTGGCACCCTGCGCACTAACACATTAGTGGAATACATATTCTCTATCTGACTCAGTTCAAATTGTATGGCACATGTAGTCAAGGAGATAAATGATCAAATCTTTTTACCATGTATTTAGAAATAAATGTGATCAAAAAACAAATCAGGTACAGAAACATTTATTTTGTTTCTTACTTTTAGACGGGTATCAACAGCTTGTTTTAACACCCAATAACTGTGAAGGTTTTCCTGATATATTTCACTCTTTATTTCCAGGAGAAAATTACTTTTCAGCCCTTTCAGGGCTTAACAGAGAAAAAAAGATTTTCACAAATGTTAATAACTAAATGAAAACATCAACATAATACCTTTATGTTCTGCTTTCTTCCTGTGATCTCAGCCTGGGTTTTATAAAGGAGTGGCAGGGTCGCAGGTGACCCTGTCCAGTCTGGTCAACCAATCCCGTGCCATGCTGGAGGAGCAGGCACGCCACCTGCTGACTGAGGCCGAACGTCAGACAATGAGCTACTATGTGGAGGAGTATAGGGACGGGCACATCGGGATTGAGCAGCTGGTCATGGCGCTGTTCGAGCTGCTAAACACGCATGCAAAGGTGAGTTAGAAGCATAGAAACTAAAAGAAAAATCAATATACAACCGGCACTTTGAGCTGCAGCTTCCTGGGTTTTAATGAGATTTAAAACTGTAGGTTTTTGGGTTGTTTTATCAGCTGAGATTTTTATCTCCATGTTTTTTTAAAGCTATAAAACTCACTCCATATGTCTACTTTTCTCCTCTTTCCCAGTTTTCCCTTCTGTCAGAGGTGCGAGGCCTTGTCACCCCGCAAGATCTGGAGCGCTTTGATGGGATGGTGCTCCGGCGGGAGATTCAGGCCCTCAAAGCTCGACAGGGGACCACAGGGGCCACAAACATGCAGCCGGACTGTCTCTCCATGGTGTCGTATCCGGACACGCTGACATCATCGTCAGCCAGCTTCATGACCAACACGACGCTCAGCTCTGCACGGGTAGGCCAGCTTTACATCTGACACACAAATATCTTTTTCTTGTGCTTTTCTGTTTTCTGCTCCCAAACGACAAGACATTATGGAATCTTTTAAAGCAATCTGAATTAGTAGTTGTCAGAGTTTTCTTTGGATTATTAGGGATTATTTTCTTCATTATTTTTACCATCTGATCTTTAAACTATTTAGATTTAAAATACTATTTAATTTAATAAATGGTCCAACAAAGAAGAATTGATTTTAAATAGTTTAGGTTCATTGTTGTCATCAGTCAAACAAATACACACAATTTGTTCCAATTTGTTTGTTTGAACTGGAAAAAAAAAAAAAAAAAACAATGACACAGTCTGGAAATGTCAGCTTGAACCATTAAATCAGCATATCATTTGATTAAAAGGAAATGATAAAAAAAAAAAACAATCTTTTAGAGTAATAGGAAGTTACCTGATAAACTCACCTTTGATCTTTATGGGAAATCTGCAGTAAACACCAGCGTTTTCAGTCCTAAATTAAAAGAGCGATACGCTTCTACACATCTCAGAGTTTTAGCAAACAGACTAAAAAGACTATAAAATGATCTAAATTATGTTGTTTTACAGGACAGTTTTTTTTAAGATTTTATTGTTTTCAGCAGAGATCTGGTGTGAGTCAGGACCAGGCTTGGACTGGTAATCTGTGATAACCGAGCATTTGCCCGGTGGAACGATCCTAATTTCCGCGTGCGAGGGCCGGCCCTCCTTAAATCATACCAACCCCAACACTTACTCTCCAACTGAAGCTCCTACCTGTGATAGAAAATAACTAAAGGAACTCGAGAAGTAATATAATGATAACTACCTAAATGATGCATGCAGAATATATAGCCCTTCCTTGTCATGCACATCCTTGTGACAGTTGGCATATGGTTTAATTTTTTTATGTCTTCAAACTGTAAAATCCTTGAAGCAAACTAAATTATAATAAAACTAAAATGCTTTATTTAAACCAAACTAGAATGTTCCTCTTATATTTGGCGAATTTATGTTCAAATATTTAGCAAAAATATGTTGCGGTGCAAGATGGGGTTGTGCATCTAAAGGCTAACGTTTCCCGTCTAACGTGCATTGTTGCCAGGTTGGGATGTTTCCCAATCTGGCAGTTTAAGATGGCCATCTGTGGGTAAAAAAAAAAAAAATCTTTAGATTCATGGCCTAAAAGATCAATAGACTTTGGTTCAAATTGGGTGAGAAATTGTATATCCAAGGCTGCAAAATGTAAGTCAGTGACATCTGGCAACCGTGCTGATGTGGTGAGTGGGGACGTTTTACAACCAAAGCCAGTGAAACCGCATTATAGAAGTCTTGGTGATGGTTGTCATGTGATGCTTGAAGATAGATCGGTTTATCCACAATGTGTATTCATATTGTGTTTCACATTTGAGACGCACGTGTTTGACTGTGCTTCTATTTTTTTTTTTTTTTTCGGGGGTTGGGGGTCCATAAGTGGTCCATAAAAGTGCCAGGGCCGAAAATCGTTCAGAGTCCAAGCCTGGTCATGACTCTTGTGACAGTCTTTATAATAATGGTGTTATAACCCCTGAGGTATTTCTTCTATTTTTATAAAACTCTGGTATATTTCTCCTTTAATCTGCATGATTTATGAAGAGCCTAATGTGTGGAAATGATCAGACCTATATTGAAAGCAGCAGCTAGGTTTATGTTGCAAGTTCGAGCAAAAGTTTTTGGGATGGGATCGATTAAACAAACTTATATCTTTAGGAAGTTAACAGGCTGCAGTTCTCATTATTGCAGTCAAAATAGTTTTAACTGTAAATACTGCATAAAAATTTTTAGTAATTCCACATCTTGCTCTGCCGAACCCTCTTACCATCGACCTGTTATTCCAGTTGTTGTCTTTAAAATGTGTGTTCACAATGAACTATAAACAAAGCTCTGAGCCATTGTCATCCTCATCCTGTCCTTTGACAAGTGAAGCAGACATAATGGAAGAGTCCTGTGAAGCTTTGATGAGACCTCCACTGCCCTGGATAGAGTGTCCAACAACCCCCTTCACTTTTTCAGATTTATATAAAGAGACAGGCATAGAAATGCAATCAGAACACACGTACAAACACCAACATGCACAGAAAAGGTGGCATAACAATACTGTACAGTAAATAGTGTTATGGTGTTTGTCAAGTGCATAATTTCATACATATTTGCATCTAAATGACATATAATACAAAGATGAGCAGATAATATAAAGTTGAACTAACTATAATCACCTTGTGTGAGGAACAGCCGTTCGTTTATTGGATTCTGCAGCCATAAAACCAGTCAAATCGGTGACAAACTCCTCTAATAAATGATAAGCCACTCTGTAAGTTTTATTGTTACGCAACTTAAAAAATGTATTCTGTTTTGAAGCATTCTGAACATTAGTTGGTGAGAAAAACTACTGTTAACACTGTTTACTCGCCGGTGTACAAACTCTTACTTTTACGCAGGGGAGACCTGCTGATTACCCAGAGGGTTTATGGAGTCATATCGGGGGGAAAAAAATACGGTCGCATATCCACTTGTCAGACATTTTACTGGTTATGTATCAGTGGTTTTAGATGTAGTGTCTGTGTATACTGTTCGGAAATATTAGTGAACGATTTAGGCGTATTTAGGTAAGCTAAGTGACACTATATAGTTATGGAAGCCCCTTTCGTTACCCAATTGGTTGAATGTGGTGTCAGTCAACATGGGGGATTCTAGCCTACCATATATAACTGTGGCAATGGCAGATAATAGCCTTATTTTTTTTTTTGTAAGAAACTGAAAATTTGGAAGCACCATATACACACAGTGGTTAGGAAGGGCAACAAGTTCAATTCTCTGCTTTTTTTTTTTTATGCTCAGAAGGCAGAATACTTCTGGTATTTCGTTTGGTTCTCTTGACCCGGACACATCAGACCAATAAGCAAATTAAAAGTTCTAATCTGATTTAAGGTTTCGGTTGGCTTTGAGATTTTTCTGTTGGAAAAGAAACCAAACCACCAGAAAAAAAGATAAAGTTTTAATGTAAGGTATGAATATTAAGCATCAGATATATATAAAAAAAATAAATAATCATAGCTCTTGGTGTTTTCCTGGGACTAATCAATGGGTCAGATGGAAAGATGGCTGCAACTCCTCTTTGAACAGTTTTTATGTTAAACTTTTAAATTGCTAGGAATGTACTTACTAAAATAATCCTATTGCTGCAGCCAGGTTTCTGTGAGACAAAAACATTCTGTTATTATCTCATTATTAAGAAGTCACAATAGATGTGTGCTAATCTTTAATCATGTACTTACAGTATGGGTACAAAAACAATAACTTCTGTGACTTTTATATCTAAAAAATTGAGGTTATTTAGTAAAAGAAGTGGTTTCATCTGCCTACTTTTGGGAAAGCTATTGTAATGTTGGTAATATTCTCTTTGCTCCATATAGCCAGAAAAAGTTGAGCTTACTTCAGCATGTTCATTTTGTTGATTTGTTTTTCAGAGCTGCAGATTATCATTCTCTGGAGCATTGCTTGATATCTGTTTCAGAAAGATGCTTTTATAAGGCACAGAGTCATCGGTGATACATTTCATTTTCCGCCTGCTGAAAATAAGATCAATTCAGCTGATATTTTAAAGGGATTTATCTCCACAACCTGAAAATACCCCCAGTTCTTTGTGTGTAACCTTCCCCATATTTCCCCATCTGTAGGAGAGGCTGCTGTGGCTGATAGACATGATGGAGGTAGGATCTGCTGCTGAAAGTGATGAATGGCTTCAATCACGAATTCACAAATGCGGAATAAACACCAGAACAACAAGATTTAACATCCCTGAAGCGTGACGACATAAACCAAAAACACCTTCACACTGACTTTCATTTTACTCTTTGCCTTTGCAGTGCGTTTGTTTGCTGTGCCTTCTATCCTTCTTGCATTTCCTTTGCCTTTCATGGCTTACAAAGATGTGGCGAGGTTTTCAGTCACTCTAACAGTGCAGGTATTCTGTCATACAGTTCCAACCAGACGTATGGATCGGAATATATTATATTATGGGCGAGAGATATCAAAGGGGATAAAGTGTATAGGGTCAGTGTTTGAAGTATCTTTTCTATCTTTTTCATGGTCATATTTCAACATTAGGAGCAAATGTTACATTGTGTCATGTAGGGATGCACGATATAATCGGCCCCCTATCGGTATCGGCCTGTATCGGCCTTAAAACTGAATATCGGACATTGGCCACCCCACCGATATTTAACCCGATATTTGATCAGCTTCTGAGTTTCTAAAGTCTAAAAAAAAAAAAATACTACTTCTTCTTTTTCCTCAAAAACTTATTTTTTACAGACTTAAAAACTTCTAAAGACGAGGGAAAAAATATTGATACATTAAAATATCACAATATCTTCATATGCTGATATATTGCCATTTAAAAACACCATATCAATCTCTTTTACTAATGAAATATTGCTATATGTCATCGTTATGCTATGAAATTCCGCGAAAAGTCACGAAAGTTTGCCATATTTTTATATGCTGATATATTGACGCGGTATCAATCTATTTTACTAACAAAATCTCACAAGAATTTGCAAAATATCACAAGAGTTTGTAACAGAACGATGAAATTTCACGAGATTTTGAAAGTAAAATAGATCGATACCACGTTTTTAAAAATCTATTTGATATCAGCATATGAAAATATATTTGAGTATATTATTTTTCAAAGTGTCAGAAATGGATAACAAAACTGCTATTTTCAATGACTACTTATTTTTGTCCAGCTTTAACATCAGTATCGATATCGGTTATCGGCTACATGAGTTTTAAAATATCGGGATATCGGATATCGGCCAAAATCCCAATATCGTGCATCCCTAGTGTCATGTGTTAGAGAATAATATCTTAAAACAAATATACAATAATTAAGGAGATAAATGTAGACTTATAACATTAATTCAACTTATTCATACAGCAATGATTCACTATTCATCTTCTCAAGGCACTTAAAGTCAATTCAATCAAAAAGTCAAAATGACTAAATAGAACTCAGCTTAGCCTTCCTGTTATGTGCGGAAGTGTTACTCTCTCTCACTCTTCTGCGGCATTAATTTAAAAAATTTCTATTCCTTTTCAAGGAAACAAAAATTTGCTATTGAATAGCTGTCCATCCGACGGTATTTTTGAACACCAAAAGGAAACAGATCAATCGATGATCTCTTACAGTCAGATTATTTGCTCTAGTGGTAACACAGTGTTGGGTTAATTTTTTGGCCATTTGCTCTTAACCCAAACTGGTGTAACTTAAAAGCCTGCATTCTAAGTCCCTTACTCATCAATGCCTTCTTTATGATCTAGTTGGTTGGACATCACTAACAATACGTAGAAAACAGCACTGGTATATCTTTATCTATAAAGCAATACTTGGTAAACTCCCACTGTACCTCTGTAACCTCCTTTCTGTGAGTTCTGGTAGTTATCAGTTGCGCTCCTTTCAGTGGTTACTTTTAATGTACCCTGAGCTTCAAATGAGTTGGGAAAAACTGCATTCTCCTACTCTGCACCTTAGGGATGGATTAACCTCCAGAAAGAGCTCAAATTAGAAACTCTCGTGTCCATTAATGCATTTAAAGTAACCAGGAAGAATGTAGTGATGGAGATATGTGCTTGTTTTTCCTGAGATGCTCAATGTGTTTTAACATACTGCTCTGATTTTATTATGAAAAATGCAATATGTTGTAGATATGTATGAACTTCCTGTGGTTTGGCTGCTACCTTGGCCAGGTCTCTCTTGAAAAAGAGATTCTAATTCTGAATGGGACTTCCTAGTAAAATAAAGGTTAAATAAAAAAAAAAAGAAATAACAAATAAATTAATAATAAATAAAACGCATAAATGTGCTAAAATTGATACCTGATTTGATGTAATTGACCTAATGTCTCTAAGTTATAGTTCCCTCTCTATTTAGTATTAAGGAAATATGACGTCTCAAGCAGGGAATGGGAGCAAAGGAGGATCTCATCCAAGGCCCTCAATTATACAAGGACCGCCCCTGTTCAGACATCTGTCTGATTTAGTTCTGGATGTTTTACGAGAGGAAGACTGTTCCATTTTGTTCCAATTTTTTCTATGTTTCATTAATCACTTTCCATCTCTGCCAAGTTCAGCCAGGCGTTTTATAACCAAAAAACATCTATGACAGCAGTCATTACCTCAGATGCATTCCATCGCTGCAGTTGTGCCACAAACCAAACGATCTTAATACATCTTATACTGCAGTCATATAGAAGGAGCACTTTTTCCTGCCAAGATGTTCCAAGACGCTTAAGTAATTTGTGAAAAACACACCCAGCTCCTTCTTTTCATATTTCTCTTCTTACACTAACTTTAACGTTGGAACAGCTTGAAAACTTGAGTCTGTTACCAAAAGGGAAATACTATGATTTCTCTGCCAGAGTTGACATAATGCTAAAGAATAACCCTCACAGAGGTGTTCTTAATCATTTATCTCCTTTTACCTTTTAAACCGGTCGGTCCAATGATAATTCTCCCACTTCTCATATCTGAACATTAGAATATGGTTTCTGTTGCAAAAATTCCTTTTGTATGATTTACTGTTCAGTCTGGACCAAGTTTCACGGGCAGCAGCAAAAGTTCCTGATTGTCGAACAACCCAAATATTACAGTGCTGTAAATATGCTTGCCCCCAAAGTGACAATCTCATTCATCACAACCATATGAATACAAGGAAATAACAATACAACACTTTACTGGGATGCAATATTTCTATACTAATGGACTCTGTCCTTTGATGCCTTCAGCATGAAGGATTATCATAGAAAACTGTTTGGAAAATGAGGTTTCAAGGGTTGTGTGACAGGTTTAGGGTTGAGACAGATGAAGTTCAATGTTAATGTACCAAATGAGTTTAAAGGCACACTATGCAACATTTTTTCAGTTAATTAATGTGTTCCATAACGTTTTGGATGATTAAATGAGTCATTTCAGGTTGAACAAAGGTATTCTCTGCCGCCCTGGTGGTCTGTGGGGGAAATACCACACTTGCAATTGCAGGAGCCCTCGGCCCGCACCCAAAGGCTCAGAAGTCTCGCGAGAGTCGGTCTTGCTTTACGGCGAGAACTGCTACACGCCCCCAGTTAAAAGCATGCTCGTTGCTAGCACAGTGGCGATCTTTGTGCAGTTATCATGGCGGAACCAGCGTGAAAACAGCGAAAGCCCATGTCGGAGCAGGCAAGAAAGAGGAAAAGGGCTCCGGACTGAGAGAGGAGTCGTACATGGGTGAACATCGGGCAAGCTTTTTCCGAATGGCGAGAGCTAAAATAAAAAGAAGGCTGCAAGGCTGACGCGGACCTCGCGTTTCTGCTGATGCGATTGTAAGTAACATTGGAATGGTTTCTTTCTCTCTGTGTGCATGTTCATACTTTCACTGTGTTAGTCATTTGTTGCGTTCGCCTGTCTGCTAAGCTCAAACAACCGCGCCTGGCTTGACGGAGACACCAGGAGAACAGCTGTGCATATTTACGACAGTGCACTTTTACTTTCGCCCTCTGGGGGGAGCCTCGCTGGAAAATAACACCGGTTGCATAGTGTACCTTTAAGGGATAATGATTTACTTTCATAACCGAGAGTAAATTTGTGTTAAGCTGAACCTAGACAGTTGATTTAATGTGAGAATATTGGTTTCAGTCGTTAGAGATTTTACTTAAATTTGGGGGGGGGAAAAAATATTTCCTAATATTATTATAACTTTTTTAAAGGGGTAGAAATTGCCTTCTTTTTTGGAATGAACCTTAAAGTGTGCAGATCAAAGTGTTTTTTTTGTATTCTTTAACTTTTCACTGCCAGGCGACAGTTAAGCTGGTCCAAAAAACATCAGTTCTCTGCCCCTAGTTTACTATTTACTATTGTTTTTACTATTTGCATGCTTTTAAGTTCTGATTTTATTTGTCCCAAAGCTTTTAGTTTCGTTTACATCCCAAACACCAATGCATGGCCGTGTAGTAAATACCTCAGGGGCTGAATAATCTGTTGGGTAAAGGCCAGTGATTGCACGCATGGACAAACAGATATCAGCATATATCGACGCCAACAACTCAGCTGACCGCAGAGATAAGCTGTCGACTGTCTTCAGGTTTATCATCAAAATGGCCGTTCTCAATCAAAAGGCTTTGTTGGATTTAGCCTTTCCTCCTCTGAGGAGCAGCATTAACATAACAGACTATTGTGGAGGCAGTTTATGTAGTTCTCCTCTGCGTCTGTTTGTGCTGTTGGACCCACGGTTGATTGGTGCCGCTGCTGCACAAAGCAGATTATGGAGCTGGGCGGGTTGGGTGAATAAAAACACTGGATTTCAGAATCGCTAGCAAAGGCAGGTATCTAAAGGATCAGGTTCACCATTGAATGTTTGCATTGCCGTCTTTGTGAAGAGATTTTTCATCCCAAAACCCCAGAGGCAACAGAGACCAACCTATTCCGGGTTTATACATTTAAGCTGCCAGTAATATTTTTTCCCTCTCATAAAAAATTCTCAGAGCCACCGAATGACCCAGCTGTAACAGCATTTCTTCTTCTTGGAGGACTGGAAGTGGCTTAGAGCTTCTCAGCAGGGATAAGGAGGGAAATTTATTCTTGAAATATCATTTAAAAATTATTTGATTTTAGTAACCACGCTCTATGAGTGAAAATCAAAAGAAATTGATCACACAGGGTAAATCAAGCATTTCTTTTAATTCAATAAAAATGGCAATATTCCAATTGTTATCATATAAATATAGGAATGTAGATACTAATTTGCATGTGCCTCACACTAGGAGGCGGGGGGTGGATTTTTATTGCTGAAATGTATAATATTCGGTGTGATAGCAATAAAGGTGATAATAAATGAAGCGTTTTTATTTGTTTGCCCAATTTGTGTTTGTGAAAATGGGATAATCACAACCCCGCTATGCAAAATACTGATCTTTAGTGTGATTTCTTTAACAGCACTACAGTTTATTCATATTTTCTAATGTATTCATGTTTGTTGATGCTCTCAAGGAGCCAACGACAGAGTAAAGTAACATCACTGTCAGTTTAAGGGTTTTCTGCCAACATTTATCAAATTGTATGGATTATTATAAATACATGTTTTAATTGCAATAAGATTATTTTCCAAATAATGTTAAATGGTGTACTAAATGCTTACATTCACTCACTACTTTCTTATGCAGGAATTATTGCAACAATGCAGAGCGACTTGGAGATGGTTCACTGAGGGTTCTGGAAGCCCAGACTGCTTTGATTGCAACCTTCAGCTCTGTCTTTATTCTTGACTCTGAGGACACTCGTCTTATCTTGACAATACTCAGTAGAAAGCAGGTGTTTGTATCTTTGGTTGTCTAAAATGTTTAATCACAGAGGGAGGCATAAAGAACAGGCTGATGCTCACAATCCAAAGTCCTCAATGTTTCCGAAATTTCTCTGCTTCAGCGTACCTTATTCTAATCTTGGATAACCTCCTTAGAGGACGTCAAATGCTACAGAAGCCTGTTAGGTCATTTATTTGTTTACGTCATGTATTTGGAAGCAAGCAAAAGGCTAAAACAGGCAGGACTGTGAACTTTTTAAACAATATCCTGGTAGAAGCTGAGCTCTCTCTGGATTTCAATTCAACACAGTTTAGTTATACAGCACCGATTATCATCTTAAAGCGCTTAACAGAAACAATTCAACCAGATCATACTGTCAGATTGGTTCAAAGTTTTCCATATAAGTAAAAACCAGCTGATTAAATCAACGTTTTGACTCGAAAGCAATCCCTCAAACCAAGCATGTTTGGTGAGAGGAATTGCTTTTGAGGCCTTTATCTCCCTTTTCATCGCTCTCATCATAGACTCTTATATGAAAACTTGATGATTCACAGATTATCAACACCAAGAGAAGACTTGGCTAATTATACAGAAAAAAATGACTAAAATATATGAAGAGCAGGTAATTAGGAGGGCTGAGTCCATCTTGGATAATTATTCCATCCCCTACACAGCGAATTCCAGTTTCTACCCTCTGGTTCCCATTTTAACTATCCACCAGCTCGGACCAATAGATACAAACACGCCTTTATTCCCTCTACTGTTCAGCTGCTAACTTTACTAGGAAAAGCAGAGTGTCATATGTTGCATGCATATAGGCTATGCTTTTATTCATCCCCTGCACTGCACATATTTATTTATCCACCTTACTTTTATCTTTTTAAAATATTTTATGTGTTTCTTGTGTTTTTATTTGTGAAATATGAATGTGTGTGTGAAAGATGTACTACTACCGCACAAAGGTTGTCCATACTGGGACAAATAAAAGCTACTGAACTCACCTTATTCTGCAGTAGCTGTATAATTAGTCAAACGCCAGCGGAATGGCCGCCTACTCCCCTGCGACTCCCAGCAAAATCCCTCCAACTTCCAGCCACTGGCCTTCTCCTGGGCGTGCAGGTTTTTTTTACTCTGACTCCACCCTTTGACTGAAATACAGGGTCTGACCTAGCCTGGGTGCCATTCCGAACTTAGTCCCGCCCACAACGTTTAAGGTCGGGAAGTTCGGTCTGGCATTGCTCAACAGTAGCGCGAGTATGCTTGCACAATATGTGGCGATCCAATCAAATTGTCAGGGCGGGCTTTATACGATGATGGACAGATGATCAACAGTAACCTAATCAACCACGCCACCAAAGCGCGCTTGGGTGACAACAACAATGGTTGCTGCTGGAGAGTTGAGGTGAGTAGATTCTGGTATTTGGTCTGTTCTAGAAGATATCGACAGCAAATTAATTTTAAAAGAGGAACAGAGAAACGCGATCAAGGCTCATCTTCTTATTCTAGGCGTGCAACTTCACGCTTTGATTTTTGTTGACAACAACTATGCGTCGCTTAACATCCGTCACGCACTCCGTTGCTCTTATTGGTTGTAGGTCTATCCAATTGAGTGCAGAGGCATTTTTTTTCCTGGTTCGTTCGAAACGCCCCATAATCACAGCTCAATGAAGCAGTATCAGACTCATATTCTGACTAGAATTGAGTAGGACTACGTCAGGCTAGGTCTGACCAGGAGATGTACTAAAATCTCTTTAGATTTTAGTACAAAGATTGATGTTTTTTTTTTTTTTTTGTCTTTATGGCACTAGTGGCTCGTTTTTCTGACAGTAGGCTGACAGGAAAGGGGCTATGAGAGAGTGGGAGAGACATGCTGCAAAGGACCACAGGCCGGATTCAGCCCGGGTCGGCCGCGTCGAGGACTAAGGCCTCCGTACATGGGTTATGCGCAATAACCACTACACCCCACTTCAAGCCCAGATTAATGTTTAAAAAAAAATTGTAGGGGACCAGCCAAGGGCCCATCAAGGAAAATAGGGACATTTTGAATGGCTACTACTGTACTTTCAGTAACTGTGGAAACTTCACATCAGACCTTGAGCAACTTAAAGTTCTGAGCCTCTTCATTCTTCCTCTTGACTTCCAAATTAAAACCAAACTATTCTTAAATTTCCTTGGATCAGAGAGCATGAACTCCCTTTTATTGGTCCAATATCTCATTATGATACAAGCTCACAAGTGAATCATCCTAACAGCCCGAAATCCAAACAAAACAAAAACTGAGAGTAAGCAATTCATCACTTGCACAACATTAAATATCTCTACTCTTGCAAGTCTGACACCATCTTATAATAGGCAAACTCTGTCCTAAGGCGGCAGCTACCAGCCCTCTGAACATCAGGTCAACATCTGCAGAACCTTTCTCCTTCATTTTATTTCTCCTGCTGAGCCAAATGCTCATCTTTGCCTGACCAAACAAAAAATTAACCAGACAAATATTACGCCGTTGTGCTACTGAGTATCTGGGACCAAAAATAAACAGTTCGTTATTAAAACTGAATCCTAATCCGCTCACCCACTGCTTTAACCATGAGAAGAGAGGAACCAGTCTGGAACATTCGAGCCAGAGACGCTGTAGCGTTTCCTTGGATCAGAGAACAACTGGGCTTCACAAGTATCCTCTTAACTTTCCATTCAAAAGGATGCTACACTCTGTAAACAAGGCTCTTTTGCAGTGACCTTTTGTGTCTTATGCTCCCTCTGGAGGTTGACAGCGACTGTCTACTGTGGAAATGTCGACTCAGCAGGATTCCTAATGATGGTGCAGGCCATAATTTAACATTTCTGTATTTTCATTTTATTGTTTTTATGTAATATTATAAATTACTGAAATTAATTACATATTTATTGATTGTTTTTTTTTATTTATTATTAGGCGTCTTTAGTTCTTTAAAAATTATGGTGCTGCAGGAAATGAACCGCTCACAACATGCTGAATTGGCACTGAATCTTTGCTTTGTGAACATGAACACGGTTGCATGCGCTGCTCAGTCATGGAGGCGTTCTCCGGTTTGCTTACAGAGCAGAGAAGCATCTCTGCATACGGGAAGTCGATTGACTCTTGTGATAAATTGATTGGGTGTAAGTGCTCCACATGCGGCGGCGAGGGGTAATCAAGCTGAATGGATGAGGCTTTTGTTTTGCTTTAGTGGTAGAGTTAAACGAAGGGAAACGTTTCTCTGAACCTCCGTTCTCCGTGCAGAAATTGCCCAAAGATCCGTCTCCGACTCCCCTCCTGTCTCCCTCTGTGTGCCACGTCAGTTGGCCCGTTCCTTCAGATCCTGCTCTGAGCGGAGCTGATGGCTTTTAATCGATTTCACAGTGTGTGTTTTTGTTTGTGAAAGAAGACATGAAGGCTTGGAGTGTTTGTCTGTAGGTGTGCTCCAGCCTGCCTGTCCTCTTTGCTTGCACAGCTCTCTATCCAGCTTGCAAACAAATGTGAGCAGGAGTGATATCAAGAGATGGAGAATATGCATGGAATGAAGGATTTGTTTTGGGATAAAAAGCATCTCTTTTACTGTCTCCTAATAACATTCTCCTTGTCTTTTTCCTCTCTTGCCTCCTGCAGAACGACAGTGTGGCGGAGAGTAACGAGGGGGATCCTCCGGAAAGCCTGAACACTCTGCTGACTGACATCTCTCTGGTGAGCTCCGCAGACACGGCCCTGCTGGATTTAGTCAGAAAATATGAGAAAAAGTCCTGCGGGAGGGTGAAAGGAGATGGGAAAGATGAGGAGAAAGAATGAAGGTGGTTGAGACATGCCTTCAGGCTTTCAAAAACTGAAGTGAATTGAACTGAGAGGGAACCATGTAAAATTAGAATTTATAAAATGTGGGAATGAGGTACAATTTAGGCCTTCTTGTCCTTTTTCTTCCAGAAAGCAGCTCATGGATCCATCATTTTTGGTATAATTTGATTTTTTTTTTTTTGTTGCATCTTGTGCAGACACTGGCATTGCCCTCATGTTTCAGTGTCCATTTCACCGTTTGAGTTTATTCACACTTATTTAAAAAAACACAGGATATCAGCGGGATCCTTCCAGGCTGGAAGCACCTTCAAGGCAACTACAACGGCTACTGAAGCTGATGGAGGGGTTACGATACTTTAGAATACATCTGTGTGAATATGGAAGAGTGATTGAACAATAAACAGTCAATTGTTTTTTTGTGCATTACCTGGAAAATACCAGTGCAGGGAGAAGCAGTGGTTCTGAATAGTCTACAAATCAATGGACAGATTTCAGGTTTATGGGTTAAAAAATTTAAGCCCTGGTAAATCATTTCCAGACGTCCTTTTTGTGATTAAGATATGCTGTTTCATTAAAAATAAACTGATATGTTGGTAAGGATGATAAAAATAAAACTCATAACACTTACACTAACAGCACACCTGATTAGAAGTTTTCTTTTTTGATACTTGGTCCTTTTTTTTTTCAGAGAAAACATCAAAGCCAAGTAATTCACTTTAAAGCATGGTGGCGGTTGAATCAGGATCTGTAAATTGCTTGTTTTGTCTTAACGAAGCTGCAATGTTTGGTCAAGTCAGACAAAGATATAAGGTTATTAAAAGTAAATGAGGGTAGTTACTACATGGCTATGTGCAGTGTCGTGCCTGAACGCGTTCATTGAACGAAAGTTCATGAACTCGTTCATATTTTGGGCGAACGTGAACTGAACGTACTGCATTACTGCCTGACGAACGTTATTGTGAACTCGTTCATCCTGGTGTCTGTGAACGGCACGCTCTCTCAGTTCAACTTCGTTCAATAGGTTGCCAAATTTCTATAGAGCCCTCCAGACGAAACCCCGGCTAAATCACACCGTAAACAGGCCTTAATATGTAGCGGGAAAAACACCCAATCTGGCAACACCAGCTACCAGTGTCGTAGCCTACAGCCGCGTGCGTCATCAAAACAAAATGCAACGTGGAAGCCACAGCAGCATGGAGGCGACAAAGCAGCAGTATGATCACTTAAAACAGTTTTATGACCAGGTGGTCAGTGAGGATGATGGCAACAATCTTACATTTCTCTGCAAACTTTGCCCGCCGGCTTTCAGTAAAAAAATCCGCACTTCAGTAACATCCAAAGCAAATTTGAAACGGCATATGTACTGAAATGGAATTTCAAATGGAAAAAAAATATTAAAATTAAAAAAACATTTGCACCTTAAAGACTACTTTCCTGTTTTTCTTTTAATAATTCCTCATAAAAAAGACCATTCAAGCAGCACATTTTTCCTGATGTTTTTGAGAATATACTGCAGCTGCTACTAGTGTGAAGTGAATGGACAGCAACAAAGCATTAAAGCAACAATGGGGAAATGCTGTCCCCTCAATGCTAATGTAAACACTGGTTGGATAAGGATTCAAAACTGGATATGAAGATGAAATCTGACGCACAGTTTCAGTGTTACAACTGATAAAATAATTGCTGTCTGTGGTTCTACAGTAGGCTATGGTGTAATTGAGCAATATATGAAAAAAAAAGAACTATGAACTAGTTAATTTTTTGGAACTGTGAACTTAGTTAAAAAATTTTAATTATGAACTATGAACTGAACTAGTTCATTTTAAAATGTGTGAACTGAACTTTGAACTAGTTCACGTAGAAAGAGAACTTTCCCAACACTGGCTATGTGTAACCTTAACATGTAAAGCAACAGGTATGCAGACAAAACGCTTTGGACAAGAGATTGTTTTTTCAAAGTAAGTGTAGAAGATGTATGTCCCATTACAGAGAGGAAAAATATTGAAATATTATCCTTTGATCTAGGGCTGCAGCTATAAATATTTTTAGTAATTAATGAGTCTATCAATAATAATTTTTTTTGACTTATTAACCTAAAAATAAACACTTAAAGTAAATTATTATTTCTAAATAAACAAATCTTTGGTATTTAGAAAACTTTATTTCACATTTCAGTTGAAAATTTCAAGAAAAAAAAACATTTAATCTACATATTTAGATTGAATGTTTAGTGTAATAATGTATATAAAATAAACATTTTCAATCTTAAGTGGTAAATTTATGCTTTTATAAGCCATAATAAGACAAAGGTGGGATTTTGGTCTTAATGCTGTAAGTAGGTAATTATTTCAGCAAATGTCATGCTTTAGAGTCTGTTTAATACTGCTCAAGGTAATGGAAGTGATTCAATTACAAATTAGTTGACAGTGTTTTTGATAATCAATTAATCACTATTAATCTTGATTTAAGCTTAAGTTTTTAAGAGGCTCGTACTCTGAAAAAAAAGGTACATTTGTACACTTTGTATGGAATTGACATTTAGATCTTTTTCTAATGAATGCAGGGAAATCAGAATCTTTTTGCAGATATGGAGTCACCAGATTTATTTCACTTCTCAGCACCATGTGGACGTAGTTTTGTATCGCTGCATGTTTTAAGTTTACAGCCATGATAAAAATATCTTCTCACTTCAGGATGATGTTCAGTCCACTGCAGGAGAGCCCCCCCCTTCCTTCAAGCCTCCGCCCCCTCCGGGGGTGCAGAGGCGTCAAGGTAGACGAGAAGTTCTCATCAAGTGCCCCTCATCCGAATCCTCCCAGTCAGGGTTGTGCTTCACAGCACCGAGCTCCCACAGCCACAGCAGAGAGCCGGCCAACATAACCTCTTCACCTTCACTGCGCCACAAACGGGACGCCTCGCGGGAATACGCTGCTATCAAAAAGAAACATCCCTCATCTCAGCTCAAGAAAGACAAAATAACCTCCGCTCAGTTGGCCACAGTCTCCCAGCATAACATCGGCCCCTTCCCCAGGGTGCAGTCTCCCAGCAGAGGCCCCAACCTTACGGCCCCCTCCCCATCTCCCCCACCGCCGCCTCCACTTCCTGCCCCTCCACCACCCCCCTCTCTTTCCTCTAAGCCGGGGTCCTTGTCCAAAGCTGCCCCGGGCTCATCTCCTGCCACCAAACAGCAGTTTATAACGGTGGAGGTCCACAGGCCCAACGCTGAACCTGACGTCAACGAGGTGCGGCCGCTGCCCCAGGCTCGAGGTACGAAACAGTGCCTCTGACTTAACAAGTACTCCTAAAAAAGCGTACTTAGTTTAATTTTTTTATCATTTAACTCAAACAATGATTTCAAAATTTAGTAGTTGAACTTTTAGCTTCAGGCATATGGCATAGTGACTCTTTGGCTTTGTCGTTATATCAAATGTTAAATAATACCATTTGATATAACCCCCACCCTGTTCATTTGATCTAGAATCGCCACTGGGTATGTGATTGTGGAAAGTTTTGGAGTCATGTTGAAACAGCAAGGAGACTAAAATATCACTGAAAGATCTTACAAACTTTACAGGTTTCTTTAGAAGGGTGTGTAGTTGTTATTGCGCATGACCCATGTATGGAAGCCCTAGTCCTACGCTGCTGACCTGGGTTCGAGTCCGACCTGTGGTCCTTTGCTGCATGTCTCTCCCCCTCTCTCATTCCCCCGTTCCTGTCGGCCTACTGTCAGGAAAATGAAGCACTAGTGCCATAAAAAATAATACATAAAAATCCCACACCATAATACTCCCTCCTCCAAACTTTGAACTTGACACAGTGCAGTCAGGCAGGTACCGGTTTCTTGACAAAGCTCAGACTCATTTATTGGATTTCCAGCTGGAGGCATGACCTTTAAATGAAACAAATCAGAAGCTTTGATGGAGCTGCTTGATCATTTAAATCCATTACAATAAACTTTCTACGTAAAAAAAATATTTTCAGGCTAACCTGAAGACTATGTGAAGTTCGGGGGTCTGTTATTTTTTTTCCATGGCTTGGTCACAGTTTTTTGGTTGGATACCATGAACTTTTGACCATAAAATATTAGGAATCAAGGAGGTTTTGAAACACAAATACTGTAAGATAATACTTAATGTTGGTCAGAGACGCCAGCGGGGCCGCTGCATGGCAGCCTTACTTCTTTCCATGAGCCCCAGGGCAGCTGTGGCTGCAATATAGTGTCACCATCCTGTGTAAATGATGCACTTGGTCAAGTCTAGTATAGATGGCCTGTACTTATACGGTATATAAGTACAGGCCATTTACCATTTTAATGCGGTGTGGTGCATTAATGCTCTACAGCTCTTTAAAATGCACTGGCCTACAATTATCTCTTATATTTTAGAGTCCTTTTAAAAAGATCCCAGAGAATTCAAAGGCTTTTCCCCCAATAATTAGCTACACACTGTTAGGCTACTGCCTGAAAAGAGGCTCCTGCTTTCAAAAGACATGTAATTGGTCAGAAAATATTTTTTTGTCACAAACAGAAATGTAAAATAAACAATAAAATAATAAAAGTCTTCATTGGCACAACCGGCCAAGATCAGCTTTTTGTTCTTTATAAGCTGCAAGGAGAAAAGCAGCAAAAATAATAGAAGAGAATTCAAGCATGTAATAAAACAAGAACATTTCTTTTAGGGTTTGTTTAGTTTTATTTTAAGCTTAATGTGAAAAAAAGTTAAAATACCACAGAAGAGTAATCTATAGATCACGTAATTTCAGCCGGAGGAATAATTGTTTATTCTATGTTTTGAATTAAAGCTGTTGGATAAATTTTATTTCCAATATTTTATAAAGACAGAAAAATGTTTTACTTGATTTTTGTCTGCTGTTATAATGTCCTAATGACATATTCCTTGGATTTGAACAATTAAAAACGCATTATTAATGCCTTGAATGAAAAAGAGACCATTAAGGTGGCCATCCAAATGCTCTTTAACACGGTCATTCTGTTTCCTATAAGGTGGAGCACTGTCTCAGCTGTCTGACAGCGGACAAACCCTCAGCGAGGACAGCGGTGTGGACATACCAGAGTCAGGACACGTCAGCAAAGACAACAGCCCCAATTCCTCAGGCACACGCCTTCCCCGTGACTCCCAGGAAGGACACGGAGGAGGAGGAGGTGACAACCCCTCCAAACCGGTGAGATGGTGCTTCGGACCAGCCGTTACCTAAACATGGCGAGGATGAGGGGTTCATCTGGATGATTAAATATTTACATGAGTTTTTCTTTTTTTTCTGTTATAAAATGACAACCATTGAAGCAAATGTTTGTAGATCATCTATTGAAATTGTAAGAAAATGACCAATAAGACTTTTCTTAGCCGAAACCAGTTATTCGATTTTCTTCAGGGCTGAGCGGCCAATGCTAACTTGAAATAATCTTCATTCATATTTCTATAAAGGTGCAGTTTGAAATATGTTTTTCGAAGCCTTTAACTTTAATTTCCAATATCATGTTTTCTTAAGCCTTCCAAAGTCAGCTATAGACTTATATATATGATAAATAATCCCTTTAGCAATATGGAGTATTTATATGTTATAAAATATTAAGCAAATACTTCAGGCTTGTTTTTTTTTTTCTCTAATCCTGAGGAAAAACACTTGCCTTCCTATTGAAGCTGCCTCTCCCTACTTCTGAAGGCTGAATGGAGTCCAAACCTCTCATGGCCAAAAACAGTTTTTCATAATTTAGACATTGGTTTAGTGAATAAAATGTTGCTGCTCTGTGCAGAATATCTGCTAAAAGACCAAAACTCGTCTTCCTCTGCCTCACATCAACCCTCCCTAATCGGACAAAGTAGTTTGTTCACAGTACAGGCACACAGTTGTGTTTCTGTACTAAATATTGCATTTTAGGAGCTTTAGCGTCTCCTTAATTTTGATCCAAATGCTTAATTTCACGCAATCTTGATTTCCTGGTTTATAAACTCAGCATTATGTGGTGATAATGATAAAAAAATTTCTGTTTGTTATTGAAGAATCTTATTGGAATCTTCAAATGATTATCTTATTTATGTAACACCAATTCACAACACATGCAACGGAACCAGGTTATTAAGCATTAACTTCCTCCTGGATGAGAATGTGACAACAGAAGATACTCTACTCTACAGCAATCCTTCAGCTAAGCATACATGCAGCGATAGTGGAGGGGAAAAGCTCCAGCAGAACCAGGCTCATTGTGAGCAGATTTTGCCGATCGGAGGTTAAAGCAGACAGAAGTGAACATGCAAAACGAACATCGATGCACTGATCTTTAAATACTTTTAATTAGGGATGCACGATATTGGGATTTTGGCCGATATCAGATATGCCGATATTTTAAAACTCATGTAGCCGATAACCGATATCGATACCGTTGTTAAAGCTGGACAAAAATAAGTAGTCATTGAAAATAGCAGTTTTATTATCCATTTCTGACACTTTGAAAAATCACATACCCAGATATATCCATATGCTGATATCAAATAGATTTTTTAAAACGCGGTTTCGATCTATTTTACTTTCAAAATCTCATCATATTTCATCGTTCTGTTACTAACTCTCGTGATATTTTGCAAATTCTTGTGAGATTTTGTTAGTAAAACTGATCGATACCGCGTCAATATATCAACATATAAAAATATGGCAAAATTTTGTGAATTTTCGGGGGATTTCGTAGCATAAGGATGACATATATCAATATTTCATTAGTAAAAGAGATTGATATGTTGTTTTTAAATGGCAATATATCAGCATATGAAGATATTGTGATATTTTAATGTATCAATATTTTTTCCCTCGTCTTTAGAAGTTTTTAAGTCTGTAAAAAAGAAGTTTTTGAGGAAGAAGAAGTAGTATTTATAAAAAAAAATTTTTTTAGACTTTAGAAACTCAGAAGTTGTTTAAATTATTGGGTTAAATATCGGTGGGGTGGCCGATGTCCGATATTCAGTTTTAAGGCCGATACAGGCCGATACCGATAGGGGGCCGATTAGATCGTGCATCCCTACTTTTAATGTAAGAAAAGGTACAAATAAATAAACTAGCTCCACGGGTGGCTCTATCTAGGAAAGAAACAGTTGAGCAGATGACCTCCAAATCATGAGAAACAAGCGTGGCGTGGTGGTAAACACTGAGCAGTCCGGTAATTCTCCGTTTGATGCTGAGGTTCCATAGGCATGACGCTAACAATGTTTAGAGCCCTGTTTAATCTCAGCTCCCCTCACTATCCTCTGCAGGGCTTTTATGTAATTGAAACTATTTTTCTTTTTCTGTTCACAGGAACCTCTTAGTCAACAAGGCCATCTTTGAAAAGTGATAGTTATTCTTTGTATAAGTAATTTGATTTAAGAGTGAAACCAATGCTGCTTCATTTTTGATATTTTGTGTTTTTTTTGGAAACTGTATCGGAGAAAAAATATTTTAGTGCTGATTTTTTTTCTGACCTTTTCTGTATAGATTTCCTATAAAAAATACACACATATATATATATAAAAAAAAAGTCTTCTTTCAGGTGTACCTAAGTGTGACTGAGTGAGTGGGTTAAATCCAAACCAGTGTGGCTGGAAGGAGCTTGATGAATCAACTTGTCTGATGTATAATCCTTCTCCTGATCCTGAATTTAACCCTAACTGCAATCTCTTCTCTCCTCCCTCTGTTTGTTCACACGCTGTCTCACCTATTTTTTTTATTTCTCACTCATTTCATTCATTCGGTCACACGACAATCCATCATTTCTCCGCTCACTCACTGCGCTGTAATGTAATGAAACTCAAATCGCTCTCTGCTCCTCATTGATTGATGTCAGGAATAACAAGTAAGATGGGAGTATTTTTTTATATTACAAGAGGCCTGTTTGCCTGTTGGTTTCCTTTCTCAGTGGGGATTAGTTTTCAGGGAAATTGAAGATTAAATGGACTGTGTGTCATAAAAGCCTTTTATTTTCCGAAGGAGAAACACATTTACCTTCTTCTCCAAAAGTGTCAGTCGGAGATTGCTGAAAAGGGAGAACTGTAAATATTTATGGACAATTTTATATGCAGTTTGTTCAATCTTGTAACCAAAAAAAAAAAAAAACACACATGGCTTTACTTATTGCTCATAAAAAAAACTGAGCTTGTTTTTGGGGGTTTTCTGTCTGTTTTATTGGTATAAAAGTTTCAGGATAGACACCTGCTGCTGATGTGATGATCAGATATTTATAATCGCTCTGTCTCCATAAACTCATAATGAGAAACCTGCAAAAGAACTTCTGGAAATGGGTTTTAAATGTGATACGTTTCCATGGTGATTTCATAAACAAAAGCTCACAGATTGAATTATTGGCAACCAGAAGAAATAAAGATTAAGCTCACATTTTATTGCCATTATAAGCCTTTAATAAAAATATCTCTAAATTAAAATTTCAGAAAATTAAACTTCCAGTGTTGGGGAAAAGTACAGTGGAGGACCTGTGGTGCTGTGGGCTTGCTCATGCTCCATTATCTCACTCAGGGGTGAGAATAACAGATTATTTCCCCCTGCGTTTCCATAGTGTTGAACCAGATGTAAAGGATCTTCAGATTTTAATCCGTTACTTTGTGTTTCGCTTTGGTACAAATAGAACATGACACACACTTGGCATCTCCATAGCAACAACATGCAAGAAAAGGAGCCCTTTTTTTCCTACCATCACAATCGCAAACAGGTGGAGTCTGGTTTGATAAGTGAAACCACATCATACTTGGAGTTAGGTAAATTGGTGGATCTGTGGTTGTATTATGAAATTTAGGCAGGATCGGAATGAGTGGGTAACAAAGATGAACACACAGAACACACACACTGTGTCTGCTAGAGTAAAATGTGTCGTTTTATTCCGCCACAGAAAACAGCAAAGCAAGCACATCAATCAAGGCATGGTGCTGAATACAAATTATATTGTTCCAATACAAATTATATTGTCCCCCCTACCGTGACACACTGGAAAAAATCGAAATCTAGATAAGTAATTTTTTTCTTAAAATAAGTGAATTTTTTTATGGATTGAGGAGGTAAAAGAGACATTTTGCCAATGGAACAAGACAAATTACACTTAAAATAAGAAAAAAACAATTGCATTGTCTTATTTCAAGTGCATATTATCTAATTATCTTATTTTAAGAGTAAAAATACTCATTCCATTGGCAAACTTTCTCATTAACCTCCTCAAATTAAGGATAAATACACTTAATTTAGGAAATTTTTACTTATTTCTTGATCGTTTTTCCAATGCAGGACAGCAAATCGCGCAGCTAGGCGTTCGTACGCAACCATAGCAGACTCTGCCAGTGCCAACCGCCATCCGTGATTTATGCCAAACTTCAAAGGAAAATCTTTCACCCAATCAGGAAAAGTGATCGCTCACTCTCACGCCTGGAGCTCATGATTACAGAAACCAAAATAAGGAACGGGCAACCCCCGAACCCACCCAGGGCTAGTGGACAGCCGAAACCAAAAACATTATTACATCATGGTCAGAGCATGGCACAGAGAGCTCGTGAGTACAAAAACAAATTATATCATGCTCTCAAGGAAACAGAAACTTAGATAATGAGAGTGCTTAGGTAATAAGAGAGCTTCATTTGTGATACAAAGCTTGTATGATTGTCAAAGAACAGAAAATCTAAAACCCATATATATCAGTGGTGCTGCGGGCTCGTTCCTCCTACAAAAGCCCCAGAAACCTTGTTGCTATTAATAAACAGAGCATTCAGCTGGTGTCCAGATTAGGATCATTTTAATGTGAATTAGCTGGGAGTCGGGAGACAAGAAGTCAAAGAAGTCTTTTTTTTTTTTTTTCGTTTAGTGAGGGACCAAACTTAGAGAATAAGAAAAGGATTGCTCAATAGTCACCTCCTACCTCCCGCTAGGTGTGCTGGACAATCTTGGATCCTCTGGGCCTATGCTTCTTCCAAAGGACCTTTTAAAATGGCCGCCTATTAACCTTAACTAATCTAAAAAGACTTGAGATTATTATTTGCTGGATTATGCCAGAGAACCTAACAGAGATAGTGTTTCTTCCCGCCGGTCCTAATTGGCTCCAGTCCTATATGTTATCAGCGTTTCCTTCCTTACTGCTGTACACCTCGCTGATTAAATTAGTTAGTAAAAGATTTCTGTGGATTAATCTAAAAAATTAACAGCGGTGGACCCCAAATTGAATGTCTTATCAAATGTGACGGTGATAAAACCGCTGGTTGCTCCTGGAAGCTTTGACCATTAATGTCTCATTTATTTTGCTCTACTGTTTTTATCTCAGAAGGAGATGAAGTAGAAATGTCATTTATTGTCGCTTACTGGGAAAATTAGACATATTATCAACAGAATGACTATAAAAATATGCAGATTCACACAAGCAAAATAAAAAAGAAAACAGGATATCACCAAATATTTTAACAGAACTCACATGTGAAACCCCAGAAACATGCTTTCAACTTTTCATAGGAGAATTTAACATAAAAGTTAGTAAAAATAAATAAAGTTCCCTAAATATAAATATTATTCTTAAACCTAAGTTTGCTTTATGGACTTTGGCCTTCATAATTTACAAATAAGGTGTGTTTCTTCATTATGTAGAAACAAAACAGCAGAGGTGAAGTAAGTTTAATAAAATATTTTCATAAATAATAATAATTTTCTGTAATCTCTATCTCTTGCCTCAGCCGGGCCTTTTGGAGCCCACCTCCACTCTAGTGAGGGTGCCAAAGAGTGCCAGCACCCTTGGTATCGCCATCGAGGGCGGCGCAAACACTCGCCAGCCGCTGCCACGGATCGTCACTATCCAGGTGAGTCGGGAAGAACAACCAGATCGTCCTCCTCAGTAAGATAGGATTTATAAACGCCTGATCCTCCAGGGACATTTCATATCCTGAAGTTCTGATTAAAAAAAATTTATAAAGCCTTAAGATAAATTGCATTTTTATTCCAGCAGCATGATTTGTTATTCATCAGTTTTGGTTTTGGGACTGATATGGTTATGGAGGAAGGTTGACTCTTTTTTCTTCTTTGGTCTTTTATCTACTGAACCATCTGGCTCCATGTTGGATCCTTCCCCAGACCAAAAAACGAATGACCACCTGTTTTTTAGCTGAAGCTTCCAGATTTTTATTTGACATGTTCTGGTTGTTGAAACAGTTTCTGAATAGGTCCCTACAGATTTCATGAAACTCGCCATCATTTTCACATCATGCATGTTTCTGACAGTAGTTTAAATCTCTGTAGGTTAACATAAACCTGCTTCTCTGGACTAGTACAGCCTTCCTTTTATTGCAGAAAATCCTGCTTTGTTGCAGCCTGAATAACCACAGACATGTCTACAGCTTTTAGAGAGAACAGATTTTCCTTTAAAGTAGTGAAACCTCTAAAAAAGACACTTTCGATTATTTTTTCTTCCTTTTTAAAGATCTTAACTCCACATGCATGTCCCGGATGACTTGCTTTTCCAATGTGGATGTAACTCAGCACCTTCAGAAAAAACAGTTTCTCTCTAAGACTGCCTTCACACAAGAGCCTGAAGTGACCCAAATCCAATTTTTTTGCCCACATGCGACCTGTATCTGATGTTTTCATGACTGTCTGAACAACACAGATCCGATTTTTTCTAATCCGACCCAGGCCACTTGGGCTACATTCACACTGCAAGCCTTGATGCTCAATTCCGATTTTTATGTGTGAAATCCGATTTTTTTTGCGCTGCCGTTCACATTTCAAAATATGTGCGAATTGTATGTGATCTCCTGTTTGAACTGCAGTCATACAACGCAACTGTCCCACATGCGCAGTAGAGGACGCAATGACATTCAGGCCAGTGTGCTCTGTGTTTACGGAAGTAAACATGGATGGTAGTGCCGGAGCGCCTCTAGCGGTCTTTCCCAACCATAAAAACACAATCTTTTCAAGATGGTTAAACATAAATACTGCTCTCCGCATGATTGTCCGCCATTGTTGTTGTTTTTCTTGCTGCTTCTTCATAGCAAGACCCAGAATAGTGACCTTTGTCGGGTATTAATGGCGTTCAGGTCGGATGAATGCGACCTGGCCGTTCAGACACAGGTCACATTTCTGTAAAATAACCGTAAGCATGTAGATATTTCACTTCAGTTAAATGTAATGTATTCAAAACGAAGTGCCTCTGTGGTTTGAGAAATGTGTTTTTTTAATTATGACTTAGTTGTAAATGCAACTAATTGCCCAGCTCTTTCCCCCACAGTCCTTAGGAGTGACCTTTAGGGTTGTTTCCATATGTTCGGACCTTGATTTATGCCACATCCACCTGGAGAGTTTGCCATTAAAAAAACGTGTCATCAAAGCACAAAATTAATAATTCGACATCATTTATGTTTGGGATGAAACAACAGAACATTTTTCTTGAATATCCATAAAAAGCTGTTATTTATAAGCATGTAAGCCCCATATTTGTTTCCTTTGCCAAACTCCTCACAATGTGTTATGATGGTTAAAAAAAAAGAGCTAGATCCTTTATTCTCTCACTATAAATGCCATCAAGGTTAGAGAAGTAGCTTTGTCCATGTAGCAGGTTATAAAGATAAACACATCTGTATTACTTAAATGGTATGTTTTCTTGTCGTTCCTATGTTGAAGAGGTTTTGAAAAGCAATGTGCATCTGTGCCACATTATATTTCTAAAAAAAGACAAACAGGGAGTCAGGAATTATTAAAAGTCTAAATTGCATTATTTGTTTAGATAATTCTTTAACAGGAAGTTTTTTCTATTTTAAATTAAGCAAATTGAAGGAAGGATTTCCAGCATTTGTCATTGTGAGTCTAAATAAAATGGGGGGAATAAATGCACAGAGGGCTGCAGGATGCAGGTCAGTTGTGGTCAACTGAATAAGGTGGAAGTTTGATATCAAGCAGGGGAAATACATTTGCAGCCTCTGTTTACTGAATTAAGCCAAAACATCTGGTGAGTTTTTGGAGATAAATCCAAATATTGATGGCTTAGTCTGAAGCGAGGGCTGCATCTGCTGGAGCATTCATCTGTTTTCCACAGTTATTTGCAAGTCAGCAAAGCTGGTTCGGATTATCCAAGACACCAATCATAAAACGCAGAATCTATGATTTTAAAAGATCTGAGCAGGGAGCAGCTACAGAGTCTGTTCAGAGCTGTATCTGAGCCTCTCTGTTCACTGAGATGCTGATTGGATAAAAAAAAAAAAAAAGGGTCTAGGCTGATTTCAGAGGCCGGGATAAAGGGTTTGAAAATCAGTGCATTCAGAATCAAATAGGCTTCTGGAGGACAGCATGCTACATAAAAAGTGAGATTTGAGAAAATGAAGTTAGGAGATAAGTAAGAAAAACAGGCCTGGTGCTCTGGATGGACGCTCTGTTTGGGTTACGCTGGCTGCTGAGGTGGCTGGAGGGTCATTGTGGCGACAGCTTGTAAAACCGCTGCTGCTGTTCGTGCTTGTTGTACAAATCGCCAAACGAATGCAGAAGTCTGAGAGTTCCTCTGATACCTCTTTATGTGGTCAGCCGCTCCCACCTGAGATGAGCTGTTCTTCCTACTAACTTCAGTCTGAGACAGAAAGGCACCAGCTCCCAAATTTATAGGAAAATCAGAACTTTAGAGCATTAAAGTAGTCCGTAAAAGCCCTTCTTGGTTTATAGAAAGCCTTTATTTATGCGATAAGCCCTTTTCCTGACAGAGACAAAACTTGACAAGGCTCAGCTTTTTGTGAATTAATTTTTTTATCACAAATAATGAAATAAGCCCTTCAAATAAATCAGTTTCTAAGTGTTTGCATTTCCCATTTTTGCCTTACAGATAAGAACCTCTGCTTAATTTTCCATGTCTCTAAATTTAGAGCCGTAAACAAAATTTCTACCTCAAAGATGGAGCCCTGACTCGCTTCTCTAGGAGACTAATAATAAAAAATATGCACCTCATTACAGTGGATAACAGCAGAGGACGGGAACAAGGAGCTCTCTTATATCAGTGTTCATATTTCACAATAAAAGCTATTCTTTTTTTTCCCCTTATTATTATAATTTCCAACTGGTGGATAGAAACCAATAATATAAAAATTTTGGCCATCTTATATCTATTAAAGCCAAAAATGCATCTATTCACCAATCGATTAAGATGGTTTGTAAACCTCTATGTTATATTAATTAATTAAAGTAATTTATTGGGGTAGCACTTAAAAAATTTAAGGATAGCTCTAAATTATTTATAATTAAAGAAAATGTATGTTTGCTTTTCAAAAATATGTATAAGCATCCATTATACCTGTTTGTCATGCAAGGAAAAAGCTTTTTTTTCTAAATCTGAATATTTATTTATTTTTATTTTTTTAACAGTGTCCTGTCTGGCAATGTGGCTATAAGAATAATTGTCTTGATGCCAAAAAGAGCCCAACAGATTTTACTTTCACAAGTGTAGCAGTATGGCAATTGCCATATTGCTTGATTCATGCATATAAATTGCTTTATTATAATTATGCAGGGAGTTTTACAGTTTATATCGACACTGCAATGTAAATAGAGCAGAAAAACAGAAGAAGAAAAAGGAAAAAAGAGAAAAGATGAAAGAAAGAAGAGATAGAAAGGAGACAATGACAAAACATTTTAAATCTGAATATTTAGAGCACCGCTCATTGCAATATCTTAACTGTGTGAGGGGCTGCCAGCCCCTTATGGAAAAGAAAGTTAGCCTCACCATAAATCACTATGTCAGTATTTTAAATCTCTATAAACTCTCTATAAACCAACAAGGGCTTTTATTGACATTCTTCTTTATTTTTGTGCGAAGGTTAAAACCAGCCTGTGTTGCATCTGTTTTGTGAAACTCTTTATGATATAAAAAAAACACATTTTCAATATACAGAATATTAAGTTTGCTTTGAGGGAAGCAAAAAAGCAACATTTTTGTTTTGTTTTTTGTTTCCCACCCTGCCTCAGCTTTATGCGGTGCAGCCAATGATAGCATCAAAGCTTTGCCCCAAACAACAGGCTTTCTCTGCAGCCACGAAAGTAAGCACTTTAGAGAGTTGGATATACCAATTCCCTGGCCGCAGTATTTCCCATCTCCTTTCTCCTCAAGGGCCCTCTTCAGAGGTAGCCTCAAGCTCAATGTCTGTGCATGGAGAAAAACAGGCTGCTGGTGGCCAGGAGGCTGCCTATTATCTGTCCCTGCAAGGGGCAGGGTTATTAGTCCTGTTTTCTCAAAATGGCCACCAACAATTGTTCCTCTTCAGCTGCTTTAAAACAAATCAGCCTTTGGGAGTAGGTCTAATACAAAAAGTTAAGTTTGTTTTTTTATAGATCCTTATTTTGATATTCAAACAATATATAACAAATTAACGTAATTAAAAAACAACTTTTTTTCCTAATTTATAAGTAATGTTAACTTTTACATTGATATTAGAAAAAATCTGAACATGGGTGATATTTTCAGTATTAAACATTTAGGTTTATTAGCTGCAACATATGAGGTTTTTATTTAAATAGAAAGGAAAATATTGAAGACGAGCAAATATCTTTCATTACAAGTAACCAGAATAAAATATGTCACATTTCCATTAAAAGCTGATTTAATTTATTAAGATAAACCATCTACTTACTATGCGATTCATTCTTATATCCCTGATGTGACCTAAAAATGTTTTTCATTAGTATCTCTATTGATTTGATTTGCATGTTTATTCATAAGCCCCATTAAAATGACATTAATGGAAATATTTATGTATGAAAAGAAGCATTTATATAAGTCTAAAAACCACAGATTGTTTCCCCATTAACACTCATTCAATGCGCATCCATCTAATTATGAAAACCAAAGCTATGGAGTATTAGCTCCTTAAACTAGAAAGCCACATCAATACCGCAGTGATGCTGCTGGTCTTTAGATTGGGCATCACTCATTAGTTTAAGATGGGAATGCTACAGTAACTTTGAAATAAAACAATGCCATAATGCAGTTTGCTTAGATTTAATTAAGGCAGAACAACATTTTCATGGCAAAACTGCTCAGATTTTAGTTATATTTGTATAAAGCCTCTGATTCTCAAGCAAAAAGTACTTCCTGCCTTATTAATCCTACTGGTGATTTAGTATTAGGAGTATTTTAAATAGAAAAATAATGCCAAATGATGGCAAATTTCACCAACAAAACTCACATTTTGTTGGATATATATTTAATGATATTTTTGTTGGATATCATTAGTGATTAATTTGTGAGAACAAAAGATAATTTTCCTTAAGAATTGTAGAAAATAAACTCAGGAAAAGTTAGATGTAGGCTATAAAACTTTGTTTAGACCAAAAACGTTTTAAAGTTTTAGGTGCAAATGTATTGGACCTGATAACTGAGCAGACAGGAAATATAGTGATTGGGAAACCTAACCCTAACCAATTGGACCTTAGTCCACATCCTGCATGTATTTTCTAGACCTTAGTTGTAGTCTAATTGGAAAATACTGGAAAAACCAAAAATAGGAATTGACAGAAGGTTTCTATCTAATCTGATTGAACTTGAAATGCTTTGCACAGAAGAATAGCATATTTTAATCTTGTGAAAATCTGATCGTCTTTTCATTTCACTCCATTATTCAGCTTTTTTTTTTGCCTTTTTTTTATTATTATATACCCAACATTGTTTTTTTTACCATATAACATCCCATAAAAAATATGGCAATTCAATTTAAGTTTATTACTTTATTCTGACAAAATGCACTGCAAAAAAATGAAATCTAAATAAGTAATTTTTGCTCAAATTAAGTGCATTTTTTCTTGAATTGAGGAGGTAAGTGCGACATTTTGCCAATGGAACAAGACAATTTACATTTAAAATAAGAAAAAAACAATCGCTTTGTCTTATTTCTAGTGTATATTATCTAATTATCTTATTTTAGGAGTAAAGATACTAATTCCATTGGCAGATCATCTTATTTACCTGCTCAAATTAAGGGTAAATACACTTAATTTAAGACATTTTTTTTACTTATTTCTAGATGTTTTTTGCAGTGTGTGGTACTTTTTTTAAGATGGTGTGAGCGGTCTGATAAACCAGGGGCACTTATAATGCTCCTTCTGCTGACTCTGTTCTCTATTCCCTCTCTCTGTTGCAGAGGGGGGGCTCAGCCCATAACTGCGGTCAGCTGAAGGTCGGTCAGATCATCCTGGAGGTAAACGGGGTTTCTTTGAGGGGCAGAGAGCACAGGGACGCCGCTCGCATCATCGCCGAGGCTTTCAAGACCAAAGAGAAGGACTACGTGGACTTCCTGGTGACTGAGTTCAATGTGGCCCTATAGCTGTGAGCAGGAGGAGAGACAATGAGGATGATGACAATGTCGGGACCCAGAGAGAAGATGACTGAACAATATCTAACCTTCTTATTGATTTGATGGCACAAATCGAAAAGAACCAACTGAACTCTGAGCCCTTATCCTGTTTTCTAATCAAACCTTTAACTTAAAGGCAACGTGTTACCTCCAACTGTGAGACCCGACACACTGCAGTGGAAAAAAGTGAATCTTTACCTTTTGGTTTCCTCCCACTGTTATAACCTACTGACCTGCAGGTTTTTGAACCTCTCCTCGCTTCGTCCAATATTATGTTTATTTTACATTTCTTTCTGCTTCTGTCTGAGAGGGAACTGTACAGCTGAAACCAACTGATGCTTGACTTTACAGGCTCGGATTTGTACTGTATGTAAAAATGGACATATGTAGATACAGATGGATATATATACTGCACACATAAAATTGCTCCTATATAAATAAAGAAATATAATATAAACTTTGTTTGAAGTAATCGGTAAAACCTGTGAATGAAGAGCTCAGATGTCCAAAGAAAATGGCACAGTGGTAACATTGGTATTGAAATAATTATCAATTAAATTTGAGTTTATTAATAATTTTATCTTATGATGCAGACATTCTAATAACCTTTAAACAGGTCTGATAAATGGTTCTTTAGCTCCAGCTTTTTTTCCCTCATTTTCAATCCAGCTTAAATGGAAATGATGTGCTTCTTTAATTTGTGGTGCATTGACTAATATTAATAGTATTAACTGTTCCTTCCTAAATCATGAATTATCTGCCAGAAAAGAAGAATCAATAAATAATTTCTAGAAATTTGTCTGACAATATGAAGCAGGTTAATACGAGTATTTGGGCCAGGCTAGCGATGTTTTTATATTTTGATTTTGAGAATGAACCCGTAATATTATGAGAATAAAGTAATAAAAGTACGAGAATAAAGTCGCAACAAGAATAGACATACAATTATGGGAATAAAGTTGTAACATTATGAGAATAAAGTGGTAAAATGCTGAGGATAAAGTTGTAAAATTATGAGAATTTAAGTCGTTACATTACGAAAATAAAGTTGTAAAATTACGATAATATATTTGCAATGAGAATAGTCATAAAATTATGAGAATAAAGTTATAACATTACGAGAAAAAAGTCATAAAATTACAAGAAAAAGGTTGCAATGAGAATAGTCATAAAATGATAAGATTAAAGTTGTAACATTACGAGAATACAGTTGTAAAATTACAAGAATAAAGTAGTAAAATTACGAGAATAAGGTTGTAAAATTATGAGAATAAAGTCGTAACATTATGAGAATAAAGTAATACAATTGCGAGAAAAAGTTACGAGAATAGTCGTAAAATTCTGAGGATAAAGTTGTAAAATTATGAGAATTTAAGTCGTTACATTACTAGAATAAAGTTGTAAAATCACGATAGTATATTTGCAGTGAGAATAGTCATAAAATTATGAGAATAAAGTTGTAAAATTTCAAGAATGAAGTCGTAAAATTACGAGAATAAGGTTGTAAAATTATGAGAATTTAAGTCATTACATTACGAGAATAAAGTTGTAAAATTACAAGAATAAATTTGCAATGAGAATAGTCAAAATTACAAGAATAAAGTCATAATATTACGAGAATGAAGTCGTAATATTATGAGAAAAGTCATAAAATCACAAGAAAAAAGTCGCAACGAGAATACAGTAGTCATAAAATTATGAGAATAAAGTTGTAACATTACGAGAATAAAGTTGTAAAATTATGAGAATAAAGTAGTAACATTATGAGAATAAAGTAATAAAATTGCGAGAAAAAGTTGCAATGAGAATAGTCGTAAAATTATGAGAATAAAGTTGTAACATTAGGAGAATAAAGTCAGAATATTATGAGAATAGAGTCCTAATAGTACGAGAATAAAGTTATATTTTATAACAACTCTTACAAGAAGTACTTTCTTCCCTAAAATGAGGAGCATCATGTGAAGTTATATTTTGGCATCGGTTGACAAAGACGCATCAGCATCAAATTGGGCAGTATGTCAAAGTGGACTCACTTTACTCTCGTAATGTTACGACTTTAATCTGATAATATCAGGACTTTATTCTCAAAATACAAAAAAATATTAAAAATATTAATTAGAATTAAAAATGGATTATCAAACAGGCTTTGGGAAACCAGTAAACCACATTTACTGACATCTACAAAGAGAGTAGACATATCAGCGATGATACTGCCTGTTTGTGGAGAGGCAACTAAAATCACTCTAAAAAGTGCATTAGAGATGGTTAAAAAAAAAAAATCCACAACACCATCCAAAGCACTGCAGACATGGCTTGTTTTAGAAAGTTCAGTGAACATGGTTCAACAAGAAGAAAAGGTAAGAAACCACGGTATTTGCTGTCTCTTAGAAAATCCTAAAGAACATTATATCCAGCCATTAGTTTGTGATTTGAAATGTAAAACTAATTTTTGATGGGTTTACTAATTAGACTTGAACATGAAGGTCTTAAACATTTTTTTATGACTTCTTCAATCTTAAAGCCTTTATTAAAGGTATACTGGAGGATTTTGGTGAATATGTGGAAAGACCAACCCTCTCCACTTAAAAAAAAAAAAAATGCACATGCACAACCCTGTACCTACTCCCTAGAGGGAACGTATTACATTTGTGTGAGAGCATGCACAAGCCCACTTCTCCTCGTGCACGCTCTGTTTAAAAGTTGCTGTTTGCGTCGCTCATTCAAGCTTACTTTCCAAAATAAGATTTGTAATTTTTCCACTATGTCAGACTCGGCACCGGTAAGTGAAAATGGAGACGAGCATGTAGGACAGCCTTATGTAAACATATCACCAGAATGATTGACAATTAGGAGGACCACTTATTTTGATGATCCACCTGGAAAAATAACATCTTCTACATCTTTAAGGAGTGAGTTACCTTTCAGTATAACAGTTACAACAGACATTTTCCACAAAATCAAAAATAGTGTGGAATTTACCATGTTAACATTAATGTGAGCAATTTATGGTTGTCCCGATTCTAATTTTTTAAATTGATACGAATAGAGTGTGTGATCTCTTCTTCCACCCTCTGCTGGGCTAACAGTATCAGAGCTAATTACTTTAAAAAGCTCAACAAGCTAATTAAGAAGGCCAGTTCTGTTCTAGAACTCCTGGAAATCATTTCACAAAAAAGAATTCTTCTTAAAGTGAAGAGAATTATGGACAACGGTGAGCATCCTCTTCAGAAGAAGTGTCTTCAGTCAGAGGCTTCTCCAGATCTGGTGCAAGACAGACCCCTACAGAGATCCTTCCTGCCTACAGCTTTTAACACCTACATCACCTGTTAAAAAAATAATGTATGAGTTACTGCAACATTTAATTTCCCTTTGCGATGAATAAAGTATTTTCAAATTAAAATCAATTCAATGCATGAGCTGCAGTTATTTTCTCGTAAGACAAAGTTATTCTGGTGAATATATATATATATATATATATATACATACACTCACCAACCACTTTATTAGATACACCTGTCCAACTGCTCGTTAACACTTAATTTCTAAGCAGCCAATCACATGGCGGCAACTCAGTGCATTTAGGCATGTAGACATGGTCAAGACAATCTCCTGCAGTTCAAACCGAGCATCAGTATGGGGAAGAAAGGTGATTTGAGTGACTTTGAACGTGGCATGATTGTTGGTGCCAGAAGGGCTGGTCTGAGTATTTCAGAAACTGCTGATCTACTGGGATTTTCACGCACAACCATCTCTAGGGTTTACAGAGAATGGTCTGAAAAAGAAAAAACATCCAGTGAGCGGCAGTTCTGTGGGCGGAAATGCCTTGTTGATGCCAGAGGTCAGAGGAGAATGGCCAGACTGGTTCGAGCTGATAGAAGGGCAACAGTGACTCCAATAACCACCCGTTACAACCAAGGTGGGCAGAAGAGCATCTCTGAACGCACAGTACGCCCAACTTTGAGGCAGATGGGCTACAGCAGCAGAAGAACACACCTGGTGCCACTCCTTTCAGCTAAGAACAGGAAACTGAGGCTATAATTTGAACAAGCTCATTGAAATTGGACAATAGAAGATTGGAAAAACGTTGCCTGGTCTGATGAGTCTCGATTTCTGCTGCGACATTCGGATGGTAGGGTAAGAATTTGGCGTCTACAACATGAAAGCATGGATCCATCCTGCCTTGTATCAACGGTTCAGGCTGGTGGTGGTGGTGTCATGGTGTGGGGAATATTTTCTTGGCACTCTTTGGGCCCCTTGGTACCAATTGAGCATCGTTGCAACGCAACAGCCTACCTGAGTATTGTTGCTGACCATGTCCATCCCTTTATGACCACAATGTACCCAACTTCTGATGGCTACTTTCAGCAGGATAATGCGCCATGTCATAAAGCTGGAATCATCTCAGACTGGTTTCTTGAACATGACAATGAGTTCACTGTACTCAAATGGCCTCCACAGTCACCAGATCTCAATCCAATAGAGCATGTTTGGGATGTGGTGGAACGGGAGATTCGCATCATGGATGTGCAGCCGACAAATCTGCGGCAACTGTGTGATGCCATCATGTCAATATGGACCAAACTCCCTGAGGAATGCTTCCAGCACCTTGTTGAATCTATGCCACCAAGAATTGAGGCAGTTCTGAAGGCAAAAGGGGGTCCAACCCGTTACTAGCATGGGGTACCTAATAAAGTGGCCGGTGAGTGTATATATAAGGCTAACTTTAATTTTCGCAATTTTCTTCGTAAACCAATCAAGGGTTGAAATGGACAGAAATAAAAATAAAAGCAAATTAATCCCTACAGGGTTACCAGACATTTTGCATAATCCCATAGACATTTATTAGGTCAGAGTAAACCACACTAACAAGTTGCTGTTAATGGTTACAGGCTGATTCTAATATTCCACCTGATCATTTTGAGAAATGGAAAGAAAAACAGGTTTTACTCATTTCACTGGAAATGTGTTATTTTGAAAAAGTAAACTGAAGATTTTTCAATGTCAGCATGCCAGCATTACCTCATTACCTACATCACTGTGATCAGTTCATAAAAGTGTATATTCAAATTGAAGGATTTTATCTACCAATGTAACAAAACAAATCCCATATTAGAATATAAAATGAATGATGCTTCAGACTCACTTTCCTAGAAACTGACTTCTGTCTACAAGTAAAAAGCAAAATGAACATGCTACTGCTTGTTATAGCTTATTAATAAGGTTAGGCTTTTAATATGCAAACTGTTTGTATTATGCAAACAACTAAGAAAGCTTTTGCAATCCCTCTAAACCAGTTCTTACACATTCAGTGCAGACCTTGGATCCTTAAGTTTCTGGTACAACCGGTCCCTGACGCTGTATGCTAATATTGTCCGTTATAACAACTATTTTCATAAATTTGCAGTATATTTAGGGTCTATTCAAATTGGGCCAGTGGGTTAGGACATTTAGGAAATT